AGTCTTTTTGCCACAGAGGGTACTATTAAACAAGGCCTAGCCTCACATACTTAACCACACCACTTAACACCTGACCCTCCTGTACAGAGCTGAGTGAGCCCATTTATTGCAGCCTATCCTAGGGAGGCTGAAGGCTTACCTTACAGAAGCCAACCTTTTCCCACTACAGCATTGGAAATTTTCAGTGTGGGAGGGATTTGCAGAATTACTAACCCCCTTATTTAACCAAAAGGGGATACTGAGGCCTGGCTCGGGATCTTAGTTATGCTCAAGTTCAAGATCACACAGTTAATGAGCAGGGCTTCTACTGTTCAGAATCTCAGTGCTGCTGAGCTGGCCTGGAGGGCAGAGAGCCATAAAGGAGATGGAATGTGCCTTAGGCTGCCTGCAAGTTGTCCACCTCCATAAAGACATTTTTATCTCCAAAAAGTTTCCTTCAAATGGAACATCTTGGTAAATAAGAAGATTGTACACAAAGATAATGCTGGCAGGCCCAGAGCTTTTCCCCAGAAGGCTGTGATGCTCACAGTCCCTGCCAACAGCACAGGGCTGATTCAGGGTACAGGCTAGAGCCCAGAACATCCATCTTCTATGGGATGCTAAGTGGTGATCTTCTCCAGAAATTACAAACTCCAGGTCTCTGGTTGCGGTCTGGCTAGCAGGTGTGTTTTGTTTGGCCCACATAATAGTTATAAAATTCTGAATTTGTTGCCAACATTTTAAATTCATGAGTTTCATATAGATCCCTGGTTTTCAAGATTCTCTTGGAAAATCTAGCCAAACCAGGCCCACATGGAGTATGCTGATTGGCTGGGCTGGGCAGTGGCTGCTCCTCAAAGGGGGCATGTGGTGTCACATTCACCATGGTCTACAACTGGCCCCATTCACCATCTGGCCCCTGTGGACGTGTGCAGTGACAAGCCCATATCTATGGTAACTCTTCCACTGTGCTTAGAGGTGCAGAAGAAAAAACTCAGCAAGGTCAAGGTTAAATACTTTGCTTGAGGTCTAACAAAGGCTGAGAGGCAGAACCAGGACTATTATTCCACAGAGCCCTGACTTCAGGGCAGGTGGTCATACAGGGGAAACTGTAGAGAAGACCTATCTAGCTGGGACTGCCAAAGTCTGTCCACAGGATAAGTGAGAAATATATTATATTATATGTATAATATATATAATATACATATCCTATATATATTTATTATATATATTATTTATTATATTATATATATGAAATTATGGTAATTTATTATGGTACCATAGCCTGAATCAAATTTTAAAATTTAGCTTTTAAAAATTTAAATCAGGGGCGCCTGGGTGGCTCAGTTGATTAAGCGTCTGCCTTCGGCTCAGGTCATGATCCCAGCGTCCTGGGATGGAGCCCCGCGTCGAGCCCCGCTGAGCCCCACGTCTCCCTTCTCAGTGGGGAGTCTGCTTCTCCCACCCCCTGCTCTTGTGCTCTTGCTCGTGCTCTCTCTCTCTCTCTCCCGATCTCAAATAAATAAAATCTTTAAAAATTTTTTTAAAGTAAAAATTTAAATCAATTTAAAAATATTTTTATAAAAGAAAAATTGGCCTCAGATAGAAATCTGATTCAGCCCTTATATAGAGAGTATCAGGATTTGGCCTCTTCCAGATTTCAGCTAACTGACAGAGACTGTCATAGAAACCATCTTTCAAAGCTGAGAAATAAAAAGACAATGGATTTGGGTGGTATTAAACCATAGACAGTAAAGGCCTGTGAGTCTTCTTTAAGCATTATTGGGTACAAAGCAACCGTACGCAGAGAAGAACCTTAAAAACCTTTAAAACTCACACAATGCCTTACCACTAATCCTTCCTATGAGACTGTTTACGTGCCAATATCCTGCCCAAAAGACAGATACTCAGACTGCAACTGCTCTTTGCAATTAATATCAGGAACTACATGTTTTCTTAAATCTGTGTTGGTCAATACATTTCCTCTCCCTCATTTTTATTATACCTTTCAGGCATATTTGTCCACTCTTAATGAAAGCTGACTTTTTAACATATACCAAGAATTAGAAATTTCATTGATCCTTTCGCTATTACCAGTTAATCAGTGACTGATTATAATAAATGCACCCTCAAAAGCAAATGAGTCACTATTTTCATCACGCAACTAGGAAAAGGCTTACCCGAATCAGTCATGCCACTAATTAACACCTAATACTGTAACAATTTGTGCTCTCCTGATGTGCCAAACCTGTTACTTTACAGGAAACCTCAAATGGTTCAAGGTGGAATACAGTGATAAATAGCTCTCAGTTTAATTCTTATAAAGCAAAGTCTCATTTCCTAAATCTCGTCTGCTTTTTGGAAGACACTGGTTAAGAAGGCTGATGAGCAGGCAGTCTAATGAACCAGGCCCCTATCATTACAACAGCACATCACCAAACTGTAACAGTATTTAAAAGTTCCATGTTTGGGCTCCTGTTAACTTCTCTGATTCAAAATCATACATGAATTGGGACCAGAGGGTCAACATGTCTCCGTCTGACTAGAAAGCCACAGAATTAACTAAAAAAGGGAGTAGAGAGTACTGTGTTTGCTTTTCTGGGTATGTCCAAGCTCCCAGCTTGTCCCATCAGCACCTTACAATGCTTTCTTTCAAGACTGGCCTCTTTTCCTGATGGCCCTGAGTCTGCCACCCATGGTCCCTAGTCCACCCATCTACAGATGACAGGACTGTGTGTCAGTGGGTCCATTTGGCCTGCCAGGTGGATGCACCCACATCTCCAGCGCTCCGCAGGACCTCCTTCCCCTCCGTGGCCCCATCACCTGGGTCAGGGCTCCACCACTTCCCCCAGGGCCACCAGGCCAGCTCCATGCCAGGCTCCCCACCCACTCTGATCCACCGCAGGCAATCACTGTTGCTGTGACTTCCTAAGACCCTGGTACTGATCATCAAATTCCCTTGCTGAAGGGACACTGTGCTCTAATCTTCACGAGGAAAGGCCCGAGCTCACTCTCCCTTTCCAGTTTGTTGTCAGCAGGTATCACGGGGTCACTGGCATGTCAGAGGCATTCAGTAAACATCTGATGAGGGGATAAAGAAAGATGTCGAGGGATCCTCGTTCATTCTGGCACCCGGGTCTAAAATGGAGTGCAAGACTTTTCCAACTGTACTGATGACTGTTCCCATCAGACTGGTGGCTCTCGACCAGGGATGATTTTGACTCCCAGAGGATATCTGATGTCTGGAGACTTTTTGGATGTCACGCTGGGAGGGCGATGGTGCTTCTGGCATTCAGTGGATAGAAGCTAGGGATACTGCTCAACATCCCATATTACACAGGGCAGCCCTACAACAAACAGTTCAGCCCATAATGTCAATACGGAGATTTGAGAAACCCTACGCAAAACATGCCACAGGATCCCTCCAAAGGGACCCTTATCTGCTCCTCAAACACACGCCATGCTTTCCCACTCCTTCCCAGGGGATGCTCCCCATTCTACCAACTCTTCCTGCTAAAACTCCACCTACCCTTCCCAGCCCAGCGCCTCCCTCCCTCCCCCACAAGCAGATGCAGCTCTTCCTTCTTCCCTCATTCAGCACATTTGTTCTGAGTACCCACCATATGACAGGTGCCACACCAGTCGCTGGACATTCAACAGTGAGCAGAGCCACAGGTCCCATTCCTTGAGACCTTACACAGTGGTGGGGAGATGGATGACAAACAGGTCAACAACTAAGCTGACCACATGTTGTGCTCATTACTACCGCAGAAGGAACCACAGCGATCATGGACAGAGTGAGTGGTGGGTGGGAGCGGGCGCTGGACAGAACCGTGAGGCGACACGAGAGCCAGGCACAGAGTGGCTGTGGGGACGCACCCCAGGCAGAGGGCACGGCAAGGACCGGACCCTGACACCAGAGGCAACTGTGAATGGAGGGCAGGGGATAGATCATGCCAGGACATGTGGGCTTGAGGAAGACTTAAAGTCTCCATCTCCCAAAGCTCTCACCCAGTCCCAGGGTGGCCTAGACTCTGAAGCTTGTGAGCCAGGCTCAAATCCCACTTCTACCTTTTACCAATCACGTGACAAGACCAGGTTAAGAGCCAGGTTCTTAACCTCTCGGGGTCTCAGTGTCCTCATTCATTAAGTAAGAGTAACACAGCTACCTCAAGAAGGGTTGTTGTGAACAATGACTCAGTGAATACATGTAAAGCATTTGCCCTTGGCACACAGTAAGCAGTCAAGTGTGAGCTTCTGTGATCATGACTGTTACTTACGGTAACTCCTACCCTTGTCTTAGCAGAGACAAAGCCACCAAAACCTTACCCATTTCTTTATTCCCCATAGCACATGGGGGTGCAGAAAATACTCGATGATATAGATACACGCACACGCACACATACAGTTACACGCTTTGATCTTAACGTCCTCCGTTCACATACTGGGGATATTGCTTCAGTTATAAAACAGCAAGGATGGGAAGCTTTACAGCCGTCTGGAGGCTTTCTGGCTAAAGAGCAAATGCCAATGAAATGCAATTTTTGCAGTTTCTCCCAGTAGCCATCTGCACAGTGAATCACGATCTAAATGTCTTCAGCAATACCCCTCATCTCCTCCGGGGACTAATCTTATTTTAGGGGTTAAAAACAACAACAACAACAACAAAACCACAACAGTAGCAAAACAATCTTCACCACTTTGGGACTCTTTCTAGTTTAACGATCCAAATGTCCCAACTGTAAAAATGCCAGATCTTATGCCCCATTTAATAGTGCCATTCGTTAGCAGCTGCCCAGGGCTGCAGTGGCGGGTGGGGTGACAGCTAAGGGGTGCCGGGTTTCTTTCTGGGGGATTGAAAATGTCCTAAAAGCGACCGTGGTGATGGTTGCACAACTCGGTGAATAGGCTAAGTGGCACTGAATCGTACACTGTAAAAGGGTGAATTGTTTGGTGTGTGAAGCTGTTTAAAAAAAAAAAATAGTGCCCTTCGGGGCCCCTTCCTCCCCCAAAATAATTACCTGTGACAGCAATATCCTCAGTCTCCATATGACTTCCTAAGTAGCAGAGTGAATTTATCCAACCTCTCTTTTCTTTGCCTAAATGCATCCAAAGGTGGCTTCTGAGACACACAAAAAAGCTTCTGAGTCATAGCTTGGCAGCCACACTTGCCATTCCGGATAAAGGACCTGCCAAAATCTTTATCTACAATCCTTCAGAGAAGTCAAAAGGCCAACAGGCCAGGGCTTCTTGGCCAAGTGGCTTTCAGCATCACTGGCTTTGCCCGATGCTATTCTAGACAACAGCTACAGGGGGAAGAAGACATTTCCTGAACCTCTCTTGCTTTTCCAAAGCAGAACTCCATTTGGGGTTTGCCTTTTTGGGGTGGATGTTTGCTATGACTTGTTTCCCACCATTACCCAGGCTCCCCTGCCAAGAGAGCAGGCGGCTGCTGACCCAGATGGTGCTTTGGGAAAAAGTGGAAGAAGGTGCTATCTCTGGGCAGAGGTGCCCTGTAGGTACAAGGCTGGGCAAAAACAGAGGCCCTGGATGTGAGGAGAAGGCACCCCCTTCCTCAGGGCAGATGCAGCCCAGAGAGGGCACATACCTGGTAACAAGAACCTCCTTTAAGAGACACCTTTGAGCAGTGCACGAATCTCAGGGCCACCCAGGGTGGTTTGCAAGGGGTCCTACTGACTGATTCAATACCTTGGTTTCTGCTTTGTTTTGTCCAGAGGATACATGGTGTAAGCAACAGGTTAGGCAGATAGCGAAATGTGATCACATTTACTCGTTTCTTTCTATAACAATTGGCCACTGAGTGACCACCACTGCCACTGTCCTAGGTCTGGGCTTCCTGCCCTCCAGGAATTTATAGTCTAGAGGCATGAAAAGACATGAAAGAAACAGAAATAAATACACAACTATAAGCCGTAATAAGTGCCGTAAAGGAAAAGAAGAGCAAATGGGAATAACAGGGCCCTAACTGCAAATGGGAGAATGAGCAGGAGTTTCTTCTAAAATGCTACCTGAATAAAAGGCATCCGAATCGGCAAAGAAGTGAAACTCTCACTTTTTGCAGATGATATGATACCTTATGTGGAAAACCCAAAAGACTCCACCCCAAAACTGCTAGAACTCATACAGGAATTCAGTAAAGTGGCAGGATAGAAAATCAATGCACAGAAAT